CTAAAATTTCTTTCTCGTTAGTGGCGTAATTTTCTTCTGCTTTAGAAAGCGTTCTAGAGAGAAAGGAAATTGGTCTGTCACCTTGGGATAGTACTGCGCCTATGGCGAAATCGGAGGCATCTGTTGTTAGTTGGAATTCCTTGTTGAAATCAGGGAATTGAAGAATAACTTCATCTGACACTAGTGAGTTCTTAACTTTGTTAAAAGCTTCTATTGCCTCTTGGTTCATATTAATAATTTTTTTCTTTGAATTGTTTTTGGACACTCGTCCATCTTCCCCTCTTAAAAGGGAGCTAAGGGGTTTAGCTAACTTAGCAAAATCCCTTATGAACCTTCTATAGTACCCTGCTAGTCCTAAAAATGCTCTTAAATCCTTTAAAGTTCTGGGTTGTGGGTAATTGGCTATTGCTAGTACTTTGTTTGGGTTTGTTTCGATACCTTGGTCAGAAATAACGAACCCTAAAAATTCTACTTTATTTTTGTAAAACTCGCATTTGTCCAATTGGCATTTCATGTTGGCATCTTGCAGAGTTTGGAAAATTGTTTGAAGATTTTTTGTATGAGATTCCCTATCCTTGCTAAAAATAATAATATCGTCGATGTAAATGTAACAGATTTTCCCGATGTGTTCTCTGAGAATATCATCGAGCGCACGTTGAAAAATAGATGGTGCGATTTTTAAGCCAAATGGGAGTCGTGTAAACTCGTATTTCCCGTTGTTCACGGAGAAGGCTGTTTTCGGTATATCGGACGTTTTTAGCGAAATTTGATGAAATCCACTCTTAAGGTCGAGGACAGAAAAGAGTTTATTATTTCCGAGTTGGGCTAATACCTCGTTAATCTCGGGGATGGGGTATTTGTCTGCTATAGTGGCTTTATTGAGTTTTCTATAGTCTATTACCATTCGAAATTTCCTTTCACCGGATGCATCTAGTTTCTTAGGAACTATCCATACTGGTGAGTTGTAAGGTAACCGTGAAGGTCGAATAATGCCATTATCTAGCAGCTCTTGGACTTGACTATTCACTTCATCTTTCAGGGACATCGGATATTGGTAGAATTTTGAATATATTGGGGAATCGGTAGAGGTTCTTATTTCTGCTTCAACATTCGTAGCGTAGGTTAATTTTTCGTTTGGGTCCGCAAAAAGATTAGGATATTTCAGGATTAGTTGGTCGAGGTCTAGTTTTTGTCTGTCGTCTAAATGTTCCGTCCTGGGTATGATTGTGTTGACTGCTTCGTATTTTTTTTCTTTTATTTGTATCTTTTTTTCTCCTTTAACTGTCATTACTTTGTTTGCTATGTCGATTACTGCTTCTAAATCTTTGAGGCTATCGTTGCCAAGAATGGCATCAAATGATTTAAGAGTTGGTAAAAGAAAAACTTAATGTTACATTCTGGATAATTGAATAAATTGGCAAGTTTGTGGTGTGTTATTTCAATACTACCTCCTACAGTTATTGCTTTAAAAGGTGTTTCGTTAGGTTTTGGATTTATAACATGCTTCGGCTGTATATAGTTTCTGTTTGAACCAGTATCGATAAGAATTTTGAAAATTTTGTGACCCCCCACTCGACATTCGAAATAGGGTAGCGAGGAGTCGCTCATTCTAAAAAATTCAAGTCTGTATTGGAGTATTGTGTGGTTTCTGGTTCGTTGTTTGCGTTCGCTTTCTCAATATACCCTGCCAAGCTCATGTCATATTCCTCCTGGTTGTTGATTTCTATCATTGCCTGCTCGTATCTTTCATAATCAGTCATGGTGGCGTAAGCCTCGGCATAGCCTTGTTCGTTTTGTCCCTGACATTCTGCTCCCTCAGTGTTAAAGAGTCTTTGTCTTTTCCCGTCTTGGTTTATGGGGAATGTTGGCCTCTTACCGATCTCAAACTGAGGTCTGTTCATATAGTTGACCATCTTAGTTTGCATACTACGGTCGACGTCCATTGGTTCTGCTGGCTTGACAGCAGTCGGACGGGTTGGGGCTATTGGTTGGGTCTGGGTGGGTTGCGGCCAATATTGTTGTTGGCGACCAAATTGGTTTGGTGGTCTTTGAAATTGAACGGGCTGTACCTGGTTATAGCTGTAGAATGGTCTGGGTTGTGATACTAGTCTACGAGGCGGAATTGGAGGTGGGTTCTGAGATGGTAAATATGTTGGAAGTATGTAAGTTGGGTTGTTTGATGGAGTCGGTATGAACCTACGAGGTGCCGGAATTGGGTTTTGGTCTATGTTTCTGAATTTCGAGTTTTACTGTCTATTGTCTGCGTGGGTTATCCTATAGGTTTGATTTTCTAATTTCAGACACAAATGCAAAGCTTGCGGCAGGTCAGTTGGTTTCTTGACGCCGAGAAGGCGTGGTAAATCACCACGTAGGCCTCTTATAAACGCATCTAATGCCCTATCCCTATAGGATTTTGTCATAACCACCTCAGTTTGTCGGTCTAAATTCATACAACTAACCTTGTTGAGGATTAAAGATAGGTGTTTGTAAATATTTTGGTAAAATTCCTCAACTGTCTGTTGTCCGTTTTGTATCATTGTGGTTAGTTGGTACTCCAATGTACTTAAGTCGCGTTTGTCCGCAAAGTGTAGAGTAAGGCATCGAGCAATTGCCTCCCAGTTTAGGGGCATATTGTAAGAGTCTAGTACTTGGTCTGCATGTTGGGTTATTTTACTACGGATAGTTTGTAAGATACCAAAGTATTTAGGTGACCCTTTAATACTAGAGTACGCCTCTAGAATCCTATCTAACCCCTTTTTCCAGGAGCTAAACTCAGCTGGATCTCCTGAAAATTCTCTCATTCCTTTTACTATGTCCGGTACGCGATCTAAGTCTGCAGTATTGCCTCTAGAGTCGGGATCTATGCTATAGGCGGCTGCCTCAGCAAAATCGCTAGCATTGCTGTTACCACTCATGTTGCTTAAAATTGTTGCCAATCTATCGTTGATTATTCTGTCTATATAGTTTTCGATGGAATTTGTTTCACCACTCCTATAGCTTTGATGCATCGTCTGTCTACTTGCTGTTCGTTGCTGCTGTCTCTGGTTGTATTCGTCGTTATTGGCGTTGGTTGGTGCTGAAGTCGGAAATTCGTCCGTGTCAACTGTATTAAGTAATGCGGGTCGTAATAGATTATTCGGGTTGGCCATGGTTAGTTCAATTCTTTGTTAGTAAAACTGAATATGTTTATGGATAGAGTGTGATATTAAAGAAATGCTTGGAATATTTAAAAAAAAATGTTGTAGTGTAAAATTGTAAAAGCAAAATGAATTTTATGTATTATATAAAATTGTGAAAGTTTTTGCAGCGCGTTTGTGTTCTACTGTTTCTTATTTTTTGTTTGCGCAGCTGCAAGCTCCGCACACTAAGCTTATATTTGTAACTAGTTTTTGATTTGATTCGCTGTTTTTTTTTTTTTTTTTTTTTTTTTTTGTATTAATTATTTCACTTAAATATTTTTTCCAATTTACCTTAACTTAATCAGTAATTTTACTTATTAATTTTCTTAACTTATATTTGTAACTAGTTTTTGATTTGATTCGCTGTTGTTTTTCTTAAAATTTTTTAAAATTTTTTTTTTTTAATTTACTTTAACTTAATCACTAATTTTCTTTATCTTACAAAACTATTGTTGGCGCGTGCTCCATCTCCGATGATGCCGAATCCGATCCCTTCTGGTTTCCCCTACTCGCGGTTCGGCTGTTCATACGTTAATCCAAGACGTGCTCTGCGAACGGATCATACAAAGCGTGAGCCCACGTTGCACAAATTGTGGCTGCTATCCGGTTTTGGCCTTTTCGTGATTAAACGCACTTAGAAACTTTTTGTTCTGTCGCGGTTTCGCGTACTTAGATGACTTTTTGCACTGTTGTATCGCGATCGGTCCCTGCTCGGGCGCCAGTTAAAATAAATAATATTATGATTTTTATTTTTTCTTGTGATCAGGTCGATCCCAGATTTCAGACTGATTTTTTCTTAAACTAATTGTACCCTAGCTAGCTAAAGTCCGAGTTGATGGCGGCAGCGCTGCTGATGACTCTCCCGACATCGTCTGCATTCAGCGACCCGCTGCTGAACTTCGGTACTTTCGCGCTATTGCAGCGGTTCTTGACCGAAGAGAGAGTTGCGCGCCAAATTTGTTGTTAGGAATTGCAAGCTGCTGAGCTTCGGTACTTTCGCGCTATTGCAGCGGTTCTTGACCGAAGAGAGAGTTGCGCGCCAAATTTGTTGTTAGGAATTGCAAGCTGCTGAATATTAATATTATAGAAAATATTATATATAAGTTTTTTAATGTATGTATTTCTTAATCTTGTTAATTATTCAATGAAGTTAACACTTCGAAATTAAGCATTGTCACTCTATATTAATTTATACAAAGATAATAAACGGCACTCACACTGATTTTGGCTTGCGAAAGAGCTAAGGACAACGACGTTATACATTCGTTATAATTTTAAAGTTAGATAATGGAACACTTAGTCATCAGATTCTCTTCCTTAATCTTCATAAGATAATCAAGTACTTCCGTCTTAAAACATCAATAATTTACCGGCTCTATCCATGTACTAATAAATCCCTGTTAGAGCCCTAGCCCCAAAATTTGACAGTTACGTTACTGCAGACGCACTCTGATGATTGGGTGGAGTATGCAGTCAAACGAGCCGGATTGCAATTTTCTTACTACTTTAAAAATAACTAAACATTGCATGAACATCTTTCCGACAGCAAATATGTCAAAAATGGTAATATGTTAAAAGGCAGAAAGTTATATTTTCGAAAACTGAAAACTTACTACTTACTTGAGTATTTACATAAAAATAGGTCAATTATGCTGATTATGCCCAGTTTTTGCTATAGCTCCTGAACCAACATTGTTTTGAAGAACTAAACCAATAAAAAATACTGCACATAATTCCTTAATTTCAATTTTTGAAGCCAAAAATATACAATTTTATTGTACATCATAAAGATTTACAGGTACGAATCCTAAAGGCATCTGTTGGAGGGCTTCAGGGTCATCGAATATTCTGTGAAGCAGGTAGCGATAAACATTCCAAAGTAGCTGTGATTTATTTATTACCCACTATATTTCTATATAATGTCATTTCACTCTGCAATGACATGACAGTCGAAATATAGCATTCATAATGTCTCGTCGCATTAGCTCACGCTACGTATTTGAAACAGTGGAAAATACGAGGACCTTTCGACACCACTGTTGCATCAACAACCAGATTGTTGAGTGCCAGACGTGTCTCAGCGTCGTCGGTCGAAATGAGCCCTACAGTCATCACTGGTTAGGTGGCCCAGATGATCAACATATAAAATTAGGCCTGGAAGAGATGAAATTGCTTAAGCACATAGAATTAGAGCGGATTCAAACATTTTTTCTATGTGATGGAAGTGCGCGGAGTCGGACCAATGCGTTTATATTGGAAGCCGGCACCGAAGCGGTACCCCAGCTACTCCGTTTCCTAAATTTTGGGGCTAAGCAGCTGGAGGTGACGATTGGGTTCTATGTAAGTGTGGCCAGGAAACGTATGTATTACGAAAGCACTCCTGTGAGAATAGTCAATCATTTTGATATAAAGGAGACAGTAGATATGGTGTTCTCGATATTGTTAGAGAAGATTACTAGCTTTGTGATGTTGCATCATTGCGTTCCATTAGAAGCATGCATTATAAAGCGCATAAAAGTTATTGTAATGCGTCAAATGATTGGAAAACCGCAATTACCATTGCAGTATCGTGTTAAAACCAATATGAATTATTTCCATAACAAGCAGTCCACAGGTGTAAATGTAAATATTACGCTACTCTCTAAGAGTATTGTTAGTTATCATGAACAACGGCTTGGAAACTTTCCAACCTCTCAAAAGGTAAATTTATATTGCATGCGAATGTGCTCTAGCACAAAGGAAGCTTTCGTGGTCCCCTATTTTCTCAGTGACGAGGATGTAAATAACACGCCAACCTTTCTTATACTTACGAATGTGGCAGGAGAATTTGAAGGCTTACATGAAATACGAAATTTGCGTCGATTTCTGAAAGCTGACTCACAGGATCATATATTTGAGTGTCGACAGTGTAAGTCACATTTCGCTGATCGTTCACAGTATGCATTACATAAGCAAATAGCTTGTGGAGCTGGGTTTATGGTTTGGCAAATCGAGCAAGATTCAACGGAATTATATGAAAATTGTTTGCTTTTGCCCAAACAGTTTTTTAAATTTGACTGGTTTGGCATTGGACATTAATTTAGTGAATAATAATTAATAAATTATCATTATAGACATTTTGTAATATTTAAAATACCAAACGTATACCATCTTCATAATGTATCGATAACTTCGATAACAGCTCAATATAAATAGTATGACAGACTCTCAACAATCGACAAATTTGTAATATTTTTGTTGTATGGCCGAGACGCAAGCAAAAAAATAAAAATAAGCATAAAGTTTAAATATTTTGTTTACGAGACCTATGAAATTTAACAATTATAAATCAAGATCACCTCCAAAACAACATGAACCCGTTAGACAAAATACATGCACTGGATGAGATTGAAAAAGATATTATACTCTGCATGCAGAGTGCAGGTAAGTAATTAATGTTTGCATATATAGTTATGTGCATATATTCAATAATAATAATATCACAAAGGTCAGGCACTGCAGGAGCTGGGTAAGGAGAAGACTTCGCAGAAAAGTGCTGAGACGCAGTCTCAACAATTTTTAAAAAGTTTATCTAGCGTAGAGTCTAAACTCTCGGAACAAATCAACTACCTCACACAAGTTTCTACCGGCCAGCCACACGAAGGATCCGGGTATGCCTCCGCAAAGGTATTGCAAATGGCTTGGCATCGTATTCAACACGCACGCTCTCGTGTACGAGAATTAGAAGAGACCAAGGCCAAACACTCCCATGCAGCCAGGCAGCAACAACAAAAACGCCAACAAGAACATGCAGCCGCACAGCAGCAACAGCAACAAGCAGCTGCAGCCGCAGCCCAGCAACAGGCTGCAGCCGCAGCTGGTGGTTCAGGATCTGTAGATTGCGGGGGACCAGGCATTGGCAATACTTCCAGTAGTGGTGGAGTAACCACCATTATTACTGATGCCGGCGGTGGTATGCCCACATAATAAATTAAATATATTAAAATTAAATTAAATTGTGAATGCTATTGATTTTTTATGTTTTGCTTAATTCGGAAAATTTTTTACATATATCAAAGAAGTTCCTTTCACAAACGTATCGCACACATTGCAAAAGAACGTTTCGCTCGTGACGAATGTCGCGCTCTAGTAGCTTGGACAGCATTGTATTCTGATTGTTAAATTGACGTGCACGCTTGTAATTCAAACCAGAATGTATTTTCTTTGGAAGAGGACGTTTCGTATTTGTTTCAGTAGCTGGTTTGATGCTTTTGGGTACTAGAGGACATCTCAGATTCTGAATTGCGGTTTGCGAAATAGGTTCATTATGGCGTTCAATGGGTACATCATCGGGTCCCTCGTCGGAAGAGCTCGAACATATGTTAATATTTTCTACCAAAGGGATGGCTGAATAATTTAGTTCACGCTCAGATGAATCCGCGTTAGGCCTATCTGTAGTAAGCTTGGGTACTATACAAGGAACATGAGTCGAATCAGTCAAATCGTTATCAATGTCTGATGCTTCATTGTCATTTTCACTGTCCGTTCCATACATTCCCAATATGTTGCTCAATGCATTATCAATCTTCTTTATGGTTTTAGTCGTTACATGCTCGTAATCATTCATTTTACTAGTGCCACGAAAAATTGACACTTGAGTTGAATTGCTTGGATACTGAAAAATAGTGTTCCTTATTATTTTCGGCTCCTTTCGCATATCTTGAGGTTCTGTCTGTTCTTCCGAAGCATTAACGTGCCTAGGCGTCTTAATTTCGTTTGGACCCTTCCGTTTTTTTGTGTGCGGACGTGGACGCGTGCATCGTCGGCCATCTGACTTGCCAAAGCGTCTCTTAGATGCCTCAAGCCGTTCACCGCGTTTTAAGCGCTGATCCTTAGCCTGTTTTGCTATATTTACACTAGCTACTGTCGGAAATCTGCAATACAGTGAGATCTTAATGATTGTTTGAAATTTATGTCACTTTCTTTATAAACCTCTTGCAACGTTCCGCACGCCAGTCAGCAATGTTCTGAGGTGTCCAAGTTTTTCTTACGGTTTTGTACAAGCCGGTTATATGATTTGCCTCAATATGTTGCTCCATAATGGATGATAGAGCTACAAAACTGCAATCCTCTGCGGGACACGTTTCATGCTGATTTAAATGACGTCGCATATCATGCGCCGTAGCCAATTCCAATTTGCAGTTTTCACAGTATTCGGTCCGTGGTGGAGAACGGTTTGGTATAAGTTGTGTGACATTGATATTCTATAATAAATTAAACTGTGTAATGTGTGACTCGTTTAATTGAAGTTAAGTAATTGTATTACTTGTTGCTCGTCAACTTTCAAATATTTTGAGGGTACCGTACTGCCGTGCACTCCATACATGGGTGGTGGCTGTTTGGCACGTGAAAGTAACGTCATGCCAAAAGGTGATAAGTAATGCAAGTTAGTCTTGTTGGGTTCAGTGCATTTTTTATTAAAATTCGGTGAGGGCAACTGAAATTTTGGCTCCATTTTAACTTTAAAAATTACGATTCAATGACACAGCGAACTCTTATTTTTAACAAAATCTAAAAGTAACAACTGGTTAGTAACAAGTCACAGTTCATTTCAGATATAACAGTTTCCAGTAACAAGATTACAAGCTTTAAAAATATTTGTAAAGCAACTGATGTTAAACTACAATAAAAATATATATGTTTTGTTTATCAACACTAGTTACTGCATTTTTTATATATCAACAGTGTGTTAAATTGTTAAATTGGTCAGATATGAACCTTGGTTGTTACCATTTATTGGCTTTTGGAACGAACAAAGTATTTCGAAAACCACCAGGGTAAATACTTATCGATATAATTATTCAAAAACGCTTGCGCCTTATACAACTACAACTCAAATAAAAAATATCGAATAGTCACATTTCTTAGTTCATCCATTAGTTGTCATGTCATCAGCTGTTTCGCTTGCACTGCAGTGTTGCACAGCGTGAAAACATTAAAACCAAAAAGAAAGCGAGAACTAGGCAATTATCCATAAATACATCGTATTAAAGTTAAACGAAGTCTGTAATACAAAGTCTAATAATAAAAAATGCAAAGCGTGCTTAACACAGTAAAAGGAACAGCGCTAAATGTGGCAGAATACTTAACACCAGTCTTAAAGGCAAGTATTTAACTCAAGCTCTTTAGAGTTGGTAGGTATTTAGTAAAAGAAAATTTTTTTGCAAGAGTTTGTATGTGTAATAGCTAGTATACGATATAATAATTTTTAGATGTTTTGTTTCAACAAATCTTATCTCAGTTATCATGTTTCTTTCACCGAATCAAATTAAACCTAATCAATTTTTTGATCAGGAGTCAAAATTTCGGGAAACTGGCGTTTTAACTCCAGAGGAATTCGTAGCAGCAGGTGATCACCTAGTTCACCATTGCCCCACCTGGCAGTGGGCAGCAGGTGACGAAAGCAAAACAAAACCATACTTGCCAAAGGGTTGGTAAACGAATATGCGTTTAAAATTAAAAAAATAACTTACTACAGCTAATTGAAATGCAGATAAACAATTTCTGATTACACGCAATGTGGCTTGCTATCGCCGCTGTAAGCAAATGGAGTACGTGGGAGAAGAGACACTGGTGGAGGAAGAATCTGGTGACGGTGGCTGGGTGGAGACACATCATTTAAACGATGACGGCACAAATCGACTCGATGATAAAATATGCGAGCTGACGCTAGATGAGAGCAAAGTTTGACTATATGGCTACTAAATGAAAGCTAAATTAATTTACTTCACTTTTAGGACGAAATGCACACTCCTGAAAGCGGCAAGATGTCGCCAATAACAGCGGTAGCTAGTGATGATGATAATGAGGACGATGATGAGGCCATTGATATGGATACATTTGAGGAAAGCGGCATGCTTGATCTGGTCGATCCTGCTGTAGCCACTACCACTCGCAAACAAGATTCCGAAACACGCCCAAGCTGCTCAACTTCAGCAGTTATGGCAAACGGAGACTCCGTTTTGCATACACGAACTTACGATCTGCACATCACATACGATAAATACTATCAGACTCCTCGGCTATGGGTGGTCGGTTACGATGAGCAGCGTAAACCACTAACAGTAGAGCAAATGTACGAGGATGTTTCACAGGATCACGCTAAAAAGACTGTTACAATGGAATCGCATCCCCATTTACCCGGACCTAATATGGCATCGGTGCATCCTTGCCGCCACGCAGATATTATGAAGAAGATTATCCAGACTGTTGAGGAAGGTGGTGGCCAACTTGGAGTGCATTTATATTTAATTATCTTTTTGAAATTTGTGCAGACAGTCATACCAACTATTGAATATGACTTTACACAAAATTTTAACATGTCCTAAGCAGCTCAATTTTAAGTTTAATCTGACAGCAATATAATAAATTAAGCATTAATTACACTTAAAAAGCGTCTACACAAATAAAATCTGAGCTACGGTACACCCCAAACAGTATTGTTCATTATTAATACAGAATTTAATTTTCTTTTTTATATTTACGATTTATTACATTGTTGATGGTTTGTTGGTTGCTCGTTTTGAAACATCTCTGAGATGATATTTTTATGTTAACGTAGTAGCAATAAACATAATTATTATACATACAGTTTCTTTTTAGGTAGTATTGTTTTTCTGTCTAGTTAAATGATTTGCTTAACGCTTTTTACTTGCTTCAACGAATTTTAAACTTACAACAGCTGTGGGTGTGTGTATGTGAAGTTGCAATATACTTATAAAGCTTTAATGCACTTTTAACTCGATTTATATATGTTGTATTTTTGTTAAATTTTCTATCATATATATATATATATATATATATATATATATATATATATATATATATATATTTATTTATTTATATATATATATTTTTCTTTAATATATATTACTGCCAACCCTTTCATTTATTCATATATATTTGTATCTTTTAATATATCTTAAAAATTAAAATCACTTTTCATTTGCAATAACAGGTTCACATCGTAATTAATTTCACAATAAACATGCCTAATGCAATTGTCTATATAATAAGACATTACACATTTTTACTTCATGCAGAACCGCATAGTATGCCCCATACTTTAAATATACATAGATATATATTAATTTGATTAACGATTTTTAAAAAACATGCCGCCGCCACTTACGTTGAACGCCAATGCCCAGCGTGTATGTGTATATTATATATATATATCCACATATATATATATATATTATGTAACAAGTTTAAAATAAGGTTTAAGCACCATTATGGTCCTTAATGATGCTGGCTAAACCTGATTTTAAACCAAACTTTTCCCATTTAATTACTAATAAATTTCATGTTATCCCATTCCTTGTTTCATTTTAGATATAGATTTCTCAACACATACAGAAATTTGATATCGTCTAAAATGTAAGTATTTATTTATGTGGTTATTATACCTAGGCATACAACGATTGCCTTCTTTTCTGCCATTGTTTGTCCTCAGTTCCTGCGACTGTAAATTATTTTTTCAACATTTTGTAATTACAAGCTGCCCTAAATACACAAAATTTAAAAAGTACTGCAATTTATGTTTTCGTGTGGGGGTTTATTTAGTTAATTTTATAAGGTACATGAAGTTTAAGCGCAATAACAAGTCATAAGGCAGGCCCCATAATTACAAATGAAGTAGGCAGGAAAAATAACATATTTAAAAATAAATATATGAAGAATGTAGTCTAATTGTTATTTATTCTTTATATTAATGGGAAAATATTTGAAACCAAAAACTAACAATTGAAATTTTTAACGATTTTCAAAAAATATTACTATGTATTTAACCTTTTCTTTCTTTACAATTGCTACTACTACTATGCAACATGCAATTGCAACTCTCCCCTGCCCACTGAAATGTCAGACTCTGGCTGTGCCAACAATTTTTTATTTACATCGACTTGCATTTTTATCTTTTGCATTTATTAATCATTTTTATAATCCCTTTAAGAGTTTTAAATACCGTTAGAGTGTGAATGTTCTAAAATTTTATCACGGCCTGCAATGAAAACAAAAACTAAAATCAAACAATTTCAATAAATGTCGCTACGAATAGTTTTCAAATGCTCAAAAACAAATAAAATTATAGTCTCCAATTGTATTGGGTTTGTATTTAGGATTATTTCATAGAAAGGATTTTAAAAGTGCATCGTCTATCTGTAAAACTGCGTAGGCAATTAAGTGCTTGTTTTTGTGTTTTAAACTTTACTTTTTTGTTGCTCAGAAATAAAATACAAAAGGCTTCTGAATTGATTTAAATATAAGCAGCTTTAAACGTTTAACAATAAAACAATAATATTATAATCGTTTCAAAATTTGTATATAAACTTATTTTATATAATTAATTAATATCTAATCATTGTTGTTTTTTTTTTTTAAAGAGAGTTCATGCTCTGACTTTTTTCGCCAGATTGATTTTTGCCTGTGTTGCAGGTAGTTGTTTGCATAGTTCCTTACAATTTAAACTTATGAAAAAATATATTTATATTTTTTGTATTACATTCTTTGTTTTTATTATGTTTAAACATATACGCAAATACTTTGTAAGACAATCGGCGCCAATAATTACAGGGAAAACATTTAAAGACGGATGGAGAATATAAACGTATATGTATATATATATATATATATATATATATATACGTTTACATGCACATGAGTGTGTATAGATTTATATAAAATAACATTTGTAATGCGCCTTTTACCTTTTACAAAAGGGTACTTTTGCACTTCCACAATTTTGCTGCTGATTAGTTTTTCTGTTGTTTTTTCTGCTTTCAGAATGCACGACTAAAAATAAGCACAACTTAAACGAATACATTAATTAATTATTTAAAGTTAGGCTAAAACTAATCATAAACATAATAATAATTAGCATTGAATCAACAAAAATGTGTATGTGGTAGTTGGTTGTTGGTGGTAGTGATGATCATTTTTCCGCATAGCAATCAATATTTCCCTTCTTTTTTGCACTTTTTAACTTTGCGCTCGTTTGCCTTTGTTTTTGTTATTTACACATTTGTTATCATTTGTAATTATTTAAGTATATTTTTTACATTTATTGGTGTTGCTCACACCTCTGCTGCTTGTTTCAAGTTCACACCTTTCGTTTAGCATGCAGCATCTCCATGAGCAGCGTCTGCGTGGGTGCACTGCCAGCACAATGCTTTGAGTATAGATGTTCTTCGCCGCGAGCGGCCATGGCGTGAATTTCCGGTAGTATATTCAAAAGCCTCCTAAATTTGTCCTGCAATGGTTTAAACACAAAAATTAATTGAAATAAAATAAAATAAATTATTAACACATAATTAATATTTATAAAATCTTTTCTGGCTTATGCTTAAGCTCTTTAATTTACTTACATTTACTGAGGGGTAACATGTAAGTGTATAATCCAGCAAAGCTGCCTGAACATTCTCGTGTCCCTCCACAACGGTCTTTTTGTTCACTATTCCACGTACATCTGCAGTATATATACCTGTATTTTATTACCTTTCGTCCGGCAGGGGTTTCTACCAAATAATTACCTGGATTTAAAAGTATTAGGAATTTCATGCACACATAGTCTCCCATATCGAACTTCAGGTCCTGCAGCTTATTTTGCAACTCGTTAAAGTAGTCTCCCAACTGTGGCACTCCCAATAGGCCAAGGCTCATTAGGTTAAACACCTGCCCGTTATTCAGCTGCGTCTCATCCGGCAAACCGTTGTGTATACGATGATGCAGATGATCCAACACAAGCATGTCCGACCAAGAATGCTGAAGCAGCTTCATCTGATCGTCCACCTGCAACCAGACAAATTGTAAAAACTAATTGTAAGATTTATCTATATATTATCATATATATTAGAGCACAACTATGAAATTATATGGAGTACGTAAACTTCATATCTTGATCCCTCTGTTAAATCTTAAGATTGGGGCACAGCGATCTATCCACAGATGGCCACGCCGTTCGTTCATCCGTTCATCAGGAATTTACTTAATAAGACCAGATATATGGCGAATTACTAAAACTTTTTTCTGAGTGTAGCAAGTATTAAAAATCCAAGCTTGATTTCAACACGCGCTCAATTCTTCGGCTCTCGCTTTCTCTTTCGCGCTCACTCACTCTCTGCTCTTTGCTGTTGTAGAGAGCGGCAACGGTTAGTTGCGTCACCGACAAGCAACATCGACGTTGACGTTGAGTCTTTGACTGGTTCAGCTTTGGTTACTAAGTAGGTCAGACGCCGGCCGAATGAAATCGAAATTGAATGCAGATTTAGGTACACGACATCGCAGTCGCAGTCGCGGTCGCACCGCTGCCGCTGCCTCTGCCACTACCTCTGCCTCTGTTTCAATCTCTGTCTCTGCCGCTGCCGATTTGTTTTCGTTTTTTTTTTTGGTTTTACATAACACTTCACAGACTTGGCCCCTAGCTTAAAAACTGGTTGTGACCATTAGTGGCTGGAGAGACAGGCTAGTTTTATGGTTGGTAGTACATATACATACAACCGAGTATATTGTGCGAGAATTACCTTTAAATCCTTAAAAAAGACAGTGTTTCTTGCCCAATCCACTTGTGAGAACAGATTTTGATCCAGCACTTTGCACATTAGCTCAAAGAGATCAACTTCAACTTGGTTATAGGTCTGCTTCTGCAGCAGCGCAAAAAGCTGAGTCTGCCATTCCCGATCATCGATCGATTGCACAAACTCTCGTATCATCGGCGAGACCCTGAAAAATGAAAAAGTTGGCAAATAAAAGGACAGCTATAAAAGTTATATCAAATTAGCTTTCGCTTTACTTTCCACTCACCTCAGTGGCTCAATGACCGCGTCTCCTGTGCTCGATGGATGTGTGCCAGAATCGAAGCTTTAATTTGAGAATAAAGGGAATTATAGAAATAAAAAGCTGAATTGTTGCTATAATGTCAGAAGAATTCGAAGTAAACATGTTTCTTTTCGTCTTTTTTAAACAAACAAATGTAAAGAAAATTTATAAAATATTATTACACTATCTACACCTGTATTTTGTTTATAATGGAAATTATAGGGCGCAAAAGTTCAATGTTACGAAAATATTTTTGTAATAAATAATTAAACTCTATTTTTTAAAGAAAAAAATTAGAAGAAATACACAGAAAAATATTTTGAGGAATTGAGGAATTTCGTTTAGTTTCTAAACTAAAACCAATAATGTTAACTTATTAATGTACAAATACATTTTCTGATGTCTGTGGAATGATCCCGATGTTTCTTTTAAATAATAAATAACTATATTTTTTGCAGAGGAAATTTTTCGATAGAATGTACGTGTTTTATAGTTCACTGTTGTCAATTGACTGGTTTGGGTCGGTATTAGAGTTGGACTGCTTTGGCTAAATAAATACCACAATTTCGAGTCAGCTGTGTTCTGCAGAGATCCATTCCCGGTTTCATGGCAGCTGCTGTTGCTGTTGCTATTGCCACTGTTTCCGTTACGTTGCAGGCCATCGGGAATGTTATTGCTGTTGTTGGCACCGCTTCCCCCGCCAGCGTTATTTCCACCCCCACTACCCCCGCCGCCACCACTGCTTCCTGTGCTGTTGTTGTTGGTGGTGTTGCTGCTCCCATTGCCTAGCGAGCTGCCGCCACTTAAATTGCCAACATTCAGGGGGGTGGCTATCACACCGCCAGCGCCAGCATTCACCTGACCCAAAGCAATGGCAATGGGGCTGGGTGACGAATCCGGCGATTGCGTAAGTGAGGATACCTGGGGTATGTATCAATGGACGTATTACACTGTGTCAATTACCGCAAAAATCACTCACCTGAGGTATTTGAATTTCTTGCTTAATATTCATATTTGGATATGCTTGCTGATAGCCAGGCGAGAGAGGTGTTGGCTTTATATCTGAACCTATAGAACTCCGCAGCGCCTGCAGGGCAAGCTGCCGCTGTCGCATCACCTGCAGCTTGCGCGCCCGATCCCTTTTGTACATGGGTCCAAATTTGTTACGGCCTCCACGCATACGATCTGCTCGAACCGCTACAAAGAACCAGATACAATAAATAGGGATGTGATTAATGTTATCAAATAATGATACGAAGCTAAATGAATAATAACCAAAAATACCACCTGAAATTGAGCATGATGTATATAGTATAGCCAAATTAACACATAATATTCAAAATACTAAGTGCCTTATAGAGAAACTTGCAGTTTAATTTAAGAGCCATTTGATCATTACTAAAAAAAAAACAGGAAATCGCAGACGATATTGCTAAATGTCCCACCTGCAGCTTAGCTAATAAGGTTAAGTACACATGAGTAAAAATTATAAACATTAAATATCTTATTTATGTTTTAAACAAATTATATAATTTTTTATTCTTTGGTTTAAACAAATTATTCTTTGAAGCTCTTCATTCTGTACTTGAATCTGGATTTTTCGTCTACAGTTTTATCTATAACTATATCATTATATGTCACCATCATTACAAATTGGCCATATATCTATAGTTCCATGGTAAGTCGGAAACAGTACATACTAGAAATTGTTAGATTTGTAACATATCAAAAAATTTTAAGTTCTCATTTAAAGTTCTTTTGGAACTATTACGATGATGCTGATGCTGTTGTGAGCCGTTTATTGCCGGAAGTTTTTTTTGTAATTTTTCTTCACAGACATTTGATTAACTTTTTGCATATAAGAGAATTATATATATATATATATCCTTATATATATATATATATATATATATATATATACATATATATACACATATATATATATATATATGATTTAAAGTACTGGTAAAAACAAAAGAAATGCTCTTATAAAACTTTTCCATTTTTATTTTAATCTTTATATTTTACTGTCCGATCCTTATTTTATTCAATCCCTTTCATGGGCATTTAAATACCACGTAGTCAGCAAATGCATTAATAAATGCGGATTCCCATATATATACCACATAAAATATGTATTTCAAATGCTGAGCTGCAAAACAAAATTGCAGTGGTTTTTGTTTCTCCTCAAAACAAGTAACTGTAATTTAGGTCAAGCGTATTGTTTACAAATAATCAACGCGCGTGGGTATACGTAAGAAATACATATATACATACACATAAAAATATATATACACATACAAAATACACACACACACACATATATATATATATATATATATATATATATATATATATATATATATATATATATATATTCGTTTTATGTTTGTGGGTGTGTGCGTTGAAGCACGAAACGAATGCACAACAAATTGGCGCTTGGCGCTCTTTAGCGTCAACGTCGCTGCCGACACTAACGTCACTGACGAGAGAGCAGAGCGCACAACGTCACATGGCTAAAAACATTGGACGCACGAGAGTACTCTTTTGCGCGCTCTCCCGTATTATGCTTGCGTGCTGTGGTTTCCATAAGCTGCTAAGGCTCGCCATGGCATGACAACTCGAAAAGCTTTCTATTACGACATTTACTCACCAACTCTTTCACACGCACATACATACAAATAAATACACAGACATGACCACTGGCACTCACGCCTCTGCCGCATTAGACAATTTTGTTGAGTGGAGTAGGTCAAGGACAGTTTTATGAAACTGGGGCAACATGCGCGTTGTTGTTGCCGTTGCCGTTGCCGTTGTCGATTGAAACTCTCACTCTCTCTTCTCCTATTCCTATGTTTAGCTCTCACTTATACTATCACTCTTACTTATTGCTCGTTGGATTTATTGACTGTGTGTGTATGTGGGCTTGTATTTATATTTGTGCCCGAGTGCTTACAAAGGCCGAGCCATCTTAGGCCAAGCTAATTTATGTTGAGATTACACCAGCAATGGATTTTTTTCAGCTTTATATGTATATGTATTAATTCGTTTACTTGCTTGCGTTACATTCGAGTCGATAGGACAGCTTACAATCAGATGTTCATAGTATACGTACACAGCTACATACATATACATATGTTAATATACATAAATAGACATACTTTCTGTGAATTCAATTGCAATCTGAGAAATGAACAAATCAGTAAATAAAACGATTTTAGGTACTAAATAATGCAATCTTGGTTATTTCCAATAATCAATCTCAATCTTATAATTAATTCATACAAAAATAAGTAGCAGGCGACATAAAAAATTCCCATAACTAATATGTTGTGTTCCAACTAGATGTGCTGTTAGCTTTAAAAGGACTTCTGTTCAAAAGTTGCATTTGTAATAGTAAATAGTATTAAAAACAAGTAAGTTCTCTAAAATAAATAGAGCTGATCAAACCAAAATGGGTACTGTAGTTCGACTTATTTATCAGTCACATCACAATCCCAAAGACCGAAATCATCGCATTCCATGCGCACACTTAATAAAAAATACTATTGTTTCAAGTGCATGACAAACTTTTCAGGATACTGTACGCTCTTCTGTCATAAGGTAAAATAACACCTCTTGGTGAACAAATTTCGATTTGCATATATTTTAGAGAGCAGAAAGCGAAGATGTCGACCATTTCGGTTGAGCGGTGGAAGCGCACTGATGTTGAGGTTCCACGATTGAGCAAAACTAGGTTGTGCAAACCGACAGATTTGAATTGTCCTAAACTGTTTACACGTAATCTATCTTTTCCAAGGCTTTAATTTGCAAAATTATATTTATTATTGTATTGAGATGTATTATTCGTTTCCCATTAATCCATACCATCGCACCTACCACTTTCTACCATTATATTGAGAATCTGAAGTCAAGAGATGATGTGAAGCATTGTTTCGATTTGATCTGATCTTGACACTTTGACAGAGTTAACAGCAGCTTTATTGACCTACCTTATGCCTAACTTGTTTGATGTTTTTATCCTATAAACGATTCTCACTCACATATTATCATATTGTTGCTGCAGCCAAAAGGATTCAGAGGTCCAGCCCTTATCGACTTTGTTCTGAATCTTAAGTAAATGTGCATAAAGGATTAGCCACATATATTACATATAATCTAGTTTGATTGTTTCGGCATACATGCCGAAACTCTGCTTAAACGACCGCCAAACTTCAGATGGTTTAACAGATGGGATAAGTAGAAAATGTTACGTCACAACTGAACTGTTAGTGAACATTAAGAGTAATGGAACTGCTCTTTGTGTACCCTCCTGAGTCGTTTAATAGTACTGTAGTCTGTAGTCATACTGAGTGGGATCTAATAATCAAATTTAATACTTTATAAAAGCGTGTACTAAATATACCATCTATGTATTGTAAGGCTAGTGTAATAACTGGTTATTCCAGGTAACGCGAATATTGCGAATACGCAGAAAATAATTTAAAACTTAGATTATGTTAAAAGTATCTACAGAAAGGCACATTTAAAGCATATTCGGATGTCTCTAGTTTCTTGTTCCTTTTCCTCGATTTATATATTTGTATTGAACCATGATTGATTAAGAAGACTGTTGATTGACAATTAGACATTATTATTATCTACCATAATAGTAAGAAATAAACTACCATATAAATAAGAAATAAACTAAAGAACTAAACTATATGTAGAGCTTTTTAAATTTAGTTATGTTATTTAAATTGAGATTCAAAATGATTCTTTTTGCATTTGCCACGATTACGATTAGTAATCGTATAGAAAGAGCATGATTACATTTGGTAATAGGTAGCGTTATATGAATGAGCTATTCTAGCCCCTGCTTTATATAAATAGAATACCATCATATCACTATATCGTATATAGCTTCAAATAATATAATATACATTCGAATTTAATTAAAAAATAAATACAATTGTAGTGGATTACTTAAAATCCAGTTTGAGTTCATTTGATTTGAGCTCATTTGGAATTAATTTATTAACTTCATTTACGATTCCTTGTGTACGTATTTAAAATGTCCGAAAGAGATAGTTACAAGGTACAACTTGTTAAAAAGATTACGCACTGTAGCGAATATGCCTAGTCTTAAGTTAAGTTACAATATCAAGCTTAAAGCAACAACCATTTTTGGGCATGTGAGTCATTCTCATTCGATTACAGCAGTAGCAGTTATCAGTACGATTTTTGGCAACATGTACGCACACCGAAAGTCCAAGCAAAAAATCAAAGCAAGCTGCCAGCACAATGCGGTCAAAAGTGCCGCAATAAAAAAATCGTTGGGCTTGACGAAGAGTAAAGCGAAGCCGCTCAATGTTACTGCTGTTGACCAAAGCGTCATGAGATTACAACAGTTTTGTCATTGCGACAACAGGGTCGGCGCCAACATCGCGACGCGACGTGACGGAACGGGACATCATACCCAAGAGACACAGCCGATACATCAGTCGAAATAAAATTCAATAAGTAGGAACAAAACACCGGAACGGCTTGAAAATTATCTATTTTATAATTCACATAAATATGTACAAAGGAAACTATTTTAAATTTTTTCAGGGTATAAAAATCACAAAGCTTAAGTTATGCATCAAAAACAAGTTACTCTTAAAACGTAGAAATACATCCCGTTTGTACAAAAACTCAGACAAATATTACACTCTGCTAATACACTCTTCCTTTTTTTGAACAGAATTTAAAAATAAAAACAGAAAGCGTGCGCAGCGCTAGCAGCGACGTCAGCGCCAAATACAATGCAGAGCAGCGTACCGCAGCACAGCACAGCGCAGCGCTCTCTACATGTTGCATTGATTGCACAAACACAGATGCGAACTTATATTTATATATCACGTGCACGAACACATACTCGCTGCGGAATCTAGGTCATGAGCGCAAGAGATGGCACTATACCGCAATGGCACCAGCGCAAATGAGATGGCAACATGACTAACTACATACATATGCGTTACAAATAAACCTATTAGCTATATGAGTGAGAGCGAGCGCGCCTCTTTCGCTCCCTCTCAGACGCTCTTTGCGATTTAAAGCAGAGAGGGCAATCGAACAACAAAACCACTTTTGACTAACATTTTTAAATATAATTCATTGCATGGAAAAAGCATATTCGTTTTATGCAATGTCCTTGCAGTCCGTTTGTCTGTCCATATGTCCGTAACTCAGAAAGTAACGAATAGGTTACTGTGAAAATGACTTAAGTATTATATTATTATTTTGAAACAACTTTTCACAAATCCATTTTTAAATTGACTTGGTGTTTATCATTACCTTTCGGACTGATCTTTTTTGTAACCTGTTGTATACCAATCAAAATCAAATCTGTATTTAATTTGAAAATCATTTTCTTAAAAAATAAAATAAAATGTTAAAGATATACTCTTGGAAGCGTAAATGTTCTTTGGATTAAAGTAGTTGACATTGATAGTAAAAAATTACATGAAATAAAAATTAAAGAACAGATGATAAAGCAGCAATCGAAGATGTAAATAAAACTATGCAATACAAAAATTATAAAATTAAATAGATATATAATACAATGTATTATAAACCTTTTTCTGTCTGCGTACTTCACAGCTTTTTATTTGTTGTTTGTCTGTCTGTATATACTTTTGTTTTACAATTGAGCTATATAATTTGCATAATTTGCACTCCTATTACATACATTCGATGCTAACTATATTTTACATAATCTTTGTCTATTGCTGCCCTTTACCATTCCCCATTCTCCATACCCACTTTTTCATATTCCTCATTCGTCCAATTCCTATGCGGAGGCCCATTTGAGCCTATTTCCTAATAGGCAAATTAAATGATTAAACTAACTAAATTGTGATATACATATGAGTTAACATAAAACAACAATGTTCGACGAGACGATTTCCTATACTTTGCTTTATACAGATTTCGACACAAACATAATATTTTATTGGAAAACGTATTCTAGCATAACTTTTGTATTCGAAGAGTCCAATTTAAGACGAAAATTTTGGAACGATTAAGGAGCCAAAGACTGCATCGGCGAAACACCTAAACGCTTCCTTAAAAAGACCCTAACAAAAGTAATTCGGGGAGTAACAAAGAACAAAAAACTGTATTTTTAAAATAATAAAAAAATGATTAAACACACGAAAGGGTATATCAATTAAAATAAAAGTATTCAATTGTATGTCTATACAAAAATATAATCCTTATAGTCTCTAAATATATATCCTTTGTACTAATATAATATTTCGAAATTTATTTAATAAATATAATTTATGACAGATGTTTAGAAAATTTAATACACACTCGCTATATAATGTTTTTTTGAAATTCTGATTTGAGCACAAGTAGTGCTACAGAATTAAAATTTGAGGTCGTGACATATAGAAATATATACTCGTGAGTACAACCCTCAAAAGTCTATATCGTCCAAAGTTGTTGAGCTAGAAACTGAAAAACTTGATGTCGAGCTCCTCTATCGACGCGTCAAAATAATATAAACAATACACTAGAAAATACCTCCTCTATGGATCTTGCGGGCATGCCAAATCAGAAAATAACATATTTCCCATTGTTTTCGAGTTGGCTTACACCGTAAATGAGTATTATGCAGTCGGTGACGATAGACTGAAACGTTCTAGATTGTTTTCTATGTGTTTAGTACAAGGTACTAAAAGTGCTATTGTGTATTCGGAAAGAAATTGTAACACTTTACAAGGCATTTTGGAGCCGGGAGAAGATATTTCCAAACATTAAGGACATCTTTATATATCGAAGATGTTTTACAGATGATTTTAATTTAATATTTTTTACTTTATTGTATAAGTTAATTAAAATCACGAAATCTTTAAGCCCTGTTTTATAAACAGATTGCGACGGTTTTAAACGTCTAAATTTAAGAAAATTAACATAGACCCAAATTAAGCAAGTTATGCAAAATTGATTATTACCGTCCGTTCTTTTAAAGACAAGACTACAATTGAAATGTTCATTGTGAACAAATTAAGGGAATTCTACATTTTATAACAAATAGATGGACGAATTGGAAATCGAACAATACTTAAAAATACGCATAATTAAATAATTATACATTCTAATAATATATTAGGAAAAAAGAATAAAATTATATAACGAAATCACAATAACTCATAGATCGAGAGTCACCGTTAGAGAACGAGATAAGGAACTTAATCAGTTTCGATATTTTTCAAGGCTTTCAAAAACCAAAAAACACTAAAACATATCTTTCTGATTTGATTGTACTTTAGCGCTTTCCAATTTTATTGAATTGGATTTCTTTGCAACACTTGAGATATTCCTAGAAGACTGCACAATAAGAAAGTTTCTAATTTAAATTATTATCTCGACATGATCTCAAGTTAAAATAGAATATGAACTATCTCCTATTACTATTGAAAGAGATTTCCAAATAGAATTGGTTTTCTTTCGACTTACCCTCAAGTTTCATGCCCACTTCGAGGCACTTTTGGAATCGGCAATATGGACAACGTTTGCGCTGCGTTTTATCAATGTGGCAGGAGCGTTCCGCAACGCATGTGTAGACCTTTTTGTTCTGAACGGTCCGCTTGAAGAAGCCCTTGCAGGATTCACAGGTGAGCAGGCCGTAGTGGTAGCCGCTCACCTTATCCCCACAAACAGGGCACAGCTCCTCGAACAAGTGCTTGAAGTCGATGGCTTCGCCACCGCCAGAGGTGGCGCTTGTTCCACTATGGTGACCACCGCCAACAACTCCAGCCGACGCGACATTGCCCGCTCCACCAGCTGCTCCGCTGCCAGCCACATTGCCGGACATGTGAGCAGCTGAAGCGCCACCTGGTGGCAGCAACATATAACCGTTGCCGGCAGAGCTGTTGCTGCCACCGTTTAGTAGCTGGCCAGAGTTAGCAGATGCTACACCAGCGCCGTTGCCGCTTTGCTGCGAATGTGACGAGTTGGTTTCCTGATAGCCTGTCGGAAATATATACTGTGAATCGAAATTGTATATATACGAATAAGAGGAGGCATTGAATTGGTTCGCTGCAGTATTCGCGTTGTTGCTGGCAATATTCTGTTGTTGTTGCTGTTGGTAATGTTGCTGTTGTTGTTGCTGATGATGCGTATTATGGTGGTGGTGTTGCTGCTGTTGATGGTTGCCCAACTGCAGCGTGTACGCGCTGTAATCGTTATCGGCATTACTTAAAGGATTTGAATCGTTATCATTGTTGCTATTATTATTGTTGTTGTTGTTATTTCCGCTGCTGCTGCTGTTATTGTTATTGTTGTTGGTGTTACTCTGTGCAGGACTCGCTGGCTGCTGTTGATCAAGCTGCATGCTAAACGGTGACAGATTCAGCGACGATATAAACTGTACAGTCGCCTGTTGGGGATCCATTTCTAATAACATTTCATTAAATTTTTAGTTCTGGACCGAGCAGTTGCTCAAACTTTTCTGCTTGTTGCGTTAGTTTGGACGGCTATAGCAAAACAATATTGCTATTGTGCTATTTTGCTATTTTATGATCTGTTGGTTTACTTTAATCTCTTTTCACATTATCTGATAAGACATTCAGCTTAAATTGTATTATTTGTATTTAATTTGCATATTAATAATGTTTTTATTGTTGTTAACATTCGGTGGTCTGGGCCTGGCTTTTAACATTTGATTCATTTTTAAAACCAACATTTTATACACTAATTAATTAATTACTTAGCATTTTTATAGCTAATTGTAAACTGTAGATTGTATTTAAAATTTTTTCGATTTTTTTTTATATTTTTAAATTTTAACAAATAAAAATTATTTAGTACATTTTTAATTTGTACTTATTTAAATTTTTATAATAATTTTGAACAGATTTCGATGTTTGTAGATTGTGTGGGAACTGCAATTAATTACTTGTATTTTATGTGTTTTAATTCACAAAGGTACTGTTACGAGGAGAGTGTGTAGATATAGATATATGTATGCACTCAAAACATAGATTCATAAAATTTGGTATATTTTTATTTGCCTGGTTTGGAGGTAGGGCTTTTGCATTTATTTTGTAGATTTCTTGATTATTTTTGGTATATTTTGTAGTAATATTTTTGTCGCTTTTCAATGAATACTAAGTTGTTTGGGTAACACCGTTACACCCTTTTTTGTATTTTGTTTGCTCGCTTTTGCATTGCATTTGTTAGACATCAAAATGTTTGCATTGCTCTCTCAGCTACTTTACTTTCTCAACGAACAGGACACAACACACCAGAGCAGAGAGAACATAATCCTTGGGCTGTTCCTGCTGTCGGTGTAAAATGCCATAGAAAGTAGTAAACGAGGGGCATGCAATATTTTGTGTTTCGTTTTATTATATATTTGTATATTTATTTATTATTGTATTGATATATTGGCGAATTGATAAATTGCTGGATTCAATGTTGTGTTGTCATTTAGGTCAAATACAAGCGTAATCATTTTCTTGATTTCTGTCGACACACACACACACACAGACGGGCGCGAATACACACATTTGTTTCACATTTCTTGTTATTGTTTGTCATATGTAACATATACTATATATCTGTATATATATATGAATTATAATTTTGTTTGTATGAAGGTACTTTGCTATGCGAAAAGCACGACCAACATCAACCACGTATCTCGATTGACTAAACCCAAGCAAACGGCGAGGATACCCGCCATATACTAAAGAGCTGCTGCTGCTGCACAGTTGACGCCAGCAGCGACAGCGCAGTTAGCGCAGGCAGCGTTTTACTCTCGCTCTCATCATCCACATTGCCATATTACGTATGCGCCACTTTTGTGTGTTTTGTCTGTATAATTGTGTATGTGCACAAGTGGGAGCCAGTTTCACTTTCAATACGCTCGCTCACGCTCTCATTTTTATATGCTAGCTCTCTTACTTTGCTTCGCTTGGCTTGACTTAGTGCCCCCCTTTTTGCTGTTTTTTCTGTGCTTTTGTGGCGGTTGCTGTTATTGTTGTTGTTGTTTTTGTTGTTAATACTACTGCGTTAAAATTCAAACTGCGCTGAAAGCGAAAGTGAAACTTTTTAACATAGCTTTTGGGCCACTGTAGACAACGTCGACTCATTCTTTCGCATATAGCACCGTTAAAGCTACCAATATTATAAAAGCGCAGAGCTTTGCTTAAAGGTGCTTCTCTTTTGTAATTGTTGCCCACTTTTTACTTCATTTTTCCAACTGAACAAAATTGTGAGTTTTGGTTTAGTTTTTCATTCTTCAAGTTGCCAAGTTGCCATGTTGGCGGCTGAGCTCAGTTTCTTTTTTCTTCTTTTTTTTTGAAATTTTTTGCCCGTCTCCCTCTTAGTTTCAATTATATGTGAATTTTTGTTGTTGGATTTGTTCATGACACAGTTTTTATATGACGTCTTTCGTTTCCTATATCTGATGTTTTCATTTTAATGCATGTTTTCTTTTATTTTTTAAAATTATTTAATTATTTATTTAGGCTTGGCTCTTCATTTTCTTTAGCTTCTACTTTGGATATTTCAGCATGTTTTCTCTTTTATAATTTTGTATTAAATAGCTTAATTGAAGAAATTTTTTATAATATTCTCTACCATATGCGACAGTCCTACCACATTGACTCAGAGTATACGTAATATACAGCGTGCATTATCACCTGTGTGCTCCTATTAACGCATTAAGCAACAGATTCTAAAATAGGCTGGTCCTGACTGACCTACATATGTTATGAAATATTAGTATAAATCACTTCAGCTAATTCTGACACAAAAAAACATACTTGACAATGGATTATGAATAAAAAAATGTTTTATGTATTATGAACGATGAAAGATCCATTATGCTATCAAAGTATTGAAAATTAAATTTTATATTATAAATTCAGTAAATTCGCTATGTTCTGGTATTTTCATTCGTATTTCCTCTGGTTACTTACGTTCGAACTAACAGAATTTACGCTAAATATAATCATATTTAAATTAGTTTCTTCTTATAGTTATATGAAAACTTTTCCAAAATATAAGTTCGAATATACCTATATACGAAGGTTTAAAAATGCACAAAAATAGTCAAGTTTAAATAGACATATTGATAGTTTCAATATCTAGACATATGCATGACATTCCTTTTCTTTATGTGCTTATGGGTATACCGTGCTTACGAAAGATCAAATTACATAAGCGAGTACAGATGTTGAAAGGAGCAGTAAAACAAAACTTTCACTCGTTTGCTCAATTCCTTAACAAATCGAACGGAACTAAGAGACGGCGAAGACGATGACGAAGCCCAAGACGATACCCATTAATATGCAGCGCCTCCTTAGCTGTTAACAAAAAAAACAAAATAAAGCAGCCAATAGTGCCCTAGTCGGGACTTTACGCACACACACTCATACACACGCACGCGCTCTGCTCACAGCGCACTTAACGAAGCGACTGTGCTTGAGCTGCAGCATGAGCTTATAGGAATTTAACTGTTGAATAACTTTCTGAATGAAATTTGTAGAGCATGATAATGACATTTAATGTCCCTTTGGACATAGATATTATTTTAATTGCCGTGTTAAATATATGAAACAGTTTATAAGAGACGTGGTCGACACTGCAATGTTTATATATCGTTGTTGATCAGGAGTAATCGAGTGAAATTTAGTCCTACTCGTCTATCTGTCTATATGCCTGAAAGCGTTCATCTTTGAACGTTCAAAAAGTACGGCTTTCTTACTCGCTACATCATGAACTTATAGGAAAAAAATTCCATTTGGCAAAGGCAAGTAATGACAAACAATGCGTTTACTATGAGCGGCAAGCAGCCAGCCTACGGTCGTACAATTACACACACTATTACATTCAGCTTAAGAAATCTAAAACCGGTTATACAGTTTCGGCTGCGAGAAATACGACCCACCCCTTCCACCAATTGAAGCCTCCAGCATCTTTAAGTTACACATTCTGTGCGCTCCAAAAGCTCCTGCAACTACCTCTGCTTTTACCCTGTATATGAAATAAAAACTATATTTGATGTGATAAGATCAATTTTTGTAATCTTCAAGCCATTCATGTAAATAAGCTTGTGATCAGTAAATATACAAGACGCAGTTTATAGTTTACAATTTAGTTCGATTACAAGTCTCTAATCGATATTATAGATACAAATTTATTTGATTTCCTTTTTAAGCGGAGCTTTAATAATATAAAGGAGAACTATATATACAGGGTTCAAGATACTGGAAGATGTCAAAGTCCAAGTCTTTAAATAATAGCGGTTCTGTTATATCGGACATGGTATTTCCCGATTGGGGTGGCCAATAGAGGGGAAATGGTATGCGTCCATACGTGACATCAAGAAGGACACTGCCCAAAATCAGGATACTTTTTCACTTCTTGAATGAGTATAACAATAGAAGAGCACAAAAATGTATTTTCACTTCTTGAATTTTTCTTAAACTTTTTAATGATATAGTATTCTTTACTTTATAATATTCAAATACATACATCTTAAGTAACAGTAGTTTATTTTAACATTTATTGTTTAGCAAAATTCTTTACAAAAGACTTTCTATTAATTCAAAGGAAACTGTTGAAGGCGGGTCAGAAGTAAATTTAATTTATATTCAAATTAATTTTTATTATGCTATTCGATGTGTATTCTATGTGATTTGTATTTATTAAGCACACAAATCTAGATCTTGGAATATATTTTCCAGTGCTCATGTATCTTGTATTTCTTAGCGCAGTTCATCCTGATCACTGTCGCCCACAAATCATTTTTAAATGAGGCAGGTCACTTATTTGACAGCGTATGACTTCATTATCATGAACAGCGTCATTATCGTCAACACCATTGGGAGAGGATCGCTGAGAGAATAAAACCAAAAAAAAAAAAAAAATAAATAAAACAAAAATGCTCAACTCTGTGAGTGCCCAACTGGGAGATACCCTTTAAATCTACATCAAATAATTAATTTTTTTGAGCTGTG